CTTAAAATCCAAGCAGTGGGCAAAGCTGCATGAAACAGGTCTCTGTCTCTGATATTCCTACCTGGTGTCTGTGTCAGGGCCGTGTTTTTTACCTGGCTCTTTGCTACTGAGCACTGCGTTTATTTTGATCAATTTTTACCAAAAACAAACAAACAACAGCGAGAGAACAGAAACAAAGATGAAAGTTACAGGGAAAAGGAAAAAAAAATTACAATCAATCAGAAATACGATTTACTTGCTTTTACTTCCAATAAAAAGTCTAAGAAACTGTGAAGAAAGAACACCTTTCATTTCATACCCAGTGGGTGTGCAAAACTTGCTTGCAAAACTGCTCTTGCCGTAAGCAATCAGTGACCCAGGCTGCTCGACAGTATTTTAAAGTGTGCTTATCACAGCAGCCTCCGCATTACATGGCAGGCATATGAATTACTCCCCTCCTCCCACGTTGGTGCCAACAGGTAAGGAGCAGATCTTCTTGGTGCTTGGCCCTTGTTTGAAAGGATTTAGCAGAGAACAATGGAAATTTAGGCCATCCTGCGCCAAGGGGCTAAAGAAGCAAAATGCCATCAAACTTGTTTAATATTACTGTAACAGCAAAGTGTGACAGTAAGAGGGTACTGTGTGAAAATGTTGAGCTCCACACCAGGAAATAACCAAAGCGAGCTTAAGAGAAGGAAGTTGCGCTACTGCAGTAAGATTTGAATCTCTCGTTCTGCTTCCTTCTGTTAGTCCTTTTCTTTTGAGCTGATTCAAGTCAGTGGATTGGACTTTCGCTTTTCACTTTGCATGTAAAAACACTGAATTATTGAGTTTACAACCATCTGTAAATATGGAAAAAATCAGGACCTTAGAGGTGAATGCTTATAAAGGATTTAGAAGCAGTATTCCGAATAATAATGGCAGTTGGGTGTAACAAGAACGTGGTATTTCCTCTTTATCAGAGAAAAAATTAGAGTGGGTGAGGATGAGAAAGAGCCCAGAGATGTTGAAAAGAGTGTGTAAGTGAGAGTGTAAGTGGCTGAAGAGGAGGGAGAAGCTGAAGAAAATGAACAGGAGTAGCCAGAGGGAGGCAGTGGATGTCTGGACCAGGGTATTGCTGTGGGAGGAATGAGAGGTTATGAAATGTTACAGAAAGTAACCAAAGTATGTGGAATGGCTGGGTGGTCTGAGCACTGAATGGCAGCGATCTGAGTGGCTGCAGCTTAAAGCAAAAGTTCAAACGCTCAAGATAAAAAAATTCCAGAGCTCCAAGGTTTTCCTGGCATAAATTTAACTATGCAAAATGCATATCAAATTTTGTTTCGTTTTGTGAGGAGTTTCTTTAGCGGAAAGTTAGTGCAAATACCACTAACTTTTGATACCAAGGAGGGAACTGCTGAACTAAGTATGGTTTTCCAGCAATGTCTCTTCGACCCAACGCTCCAGGGACAGAAGGGCAGAACATTCCAGCTTCATATCAGTATTCCACTGGTACATGCAGTATTCTAATGGCAGGTGGTGCTCCTACCATTGCATTTGCCCTAACGAGTCTGCACTAATACTGCATCAAGATAGCAGTACTGTATGTGCCTGCTTTAATTTGAAGAGCAGTGAACTCTGTTCTACAGCCTGAACCTCGGCATACGACTTCAAAAGCAGGGAACAACGCAAGCTGTGTACTGTACATCATGTATGTGGGTTTTTTATTGTTCCCTAATGTAAAACCGAAACTAATAAAAAACTGCTTTGAAAATCAAAACTATCATTGGTCTTGTTAGATTCTGTTACATTGGCATAAGCTATTGCAGAAGTCATAGAAAGTGTTGGTTTGTTTTCCAAATCCCGTGAGTATGGCTATTTCTGCCTGTATCTGCCCATAGACATGAAATAATACACATCCTTGGAGGGGGTAAAGATATTGAGGAGACAGTGAGAGTTCAGACTGCACAGATTGTGAGTGAGAGCCAGCACTGTGCTGTGTGTTACTAACGAGCTTTAGCAGTGAGTTTCTGTGCTCCTGCCTTCCTCTTGCACAAATGCCCAGTGGAACTGGAGAGACACAGCAGCTTGCAGACACCTGGCACTGCAAGAACTGGTTTTGTGTTCCTGTATCAGCCTGAGGGCCTGGTTAGTCCATTCTTAGGCATGCTCACAGAGTCTTCATTGCAGCACATGAAGTGTACTGCTCTGTCTGAGCCGTGAGCACATCGTAGCTCCGTCACTTCAGAGTGAGAATTAGGAAATTTTCCATTTATGCCAGCATTGGTGTTGGAAAGGGTAAGGGCAGAAGGGGAGATTTCTCCAGAATATTTATGATGGAGATGAGTGTCGTTCATCCATGTTTCGTCTCCTCCATGCTAGCAGAGCACACTGCCTCCAGCATTCAGTATATAGAATGGACTCTGTATTCTAAGTTTAACCATGGTTGCTTGCTTGAGCACTGAGCTTAGTTTACCCAGTGTTCGTAGCACCAGAAGTTCTTTCTGAGCTTCATTGTCACTCAGTTCATTCTGAGTGTCATACAGTGCACCAGGATTCTTCCACACCAGTAACTCCAAATGAGTTTCCCTCCCCAGCACAAGAAACATCAGGCTTCAGTTCTAGTGCTGTTCTGCCTGAACAAGTGCTTCCCTCTGCTATTTGATTTCCTACTCCCAGATCAAAAATGATTGCAGTATGAACAGGGAAGCAATTCTGGAATTCCTCCTTTGCCTGCACCAATAACTCTGCTATAAAGGAACTGCAGTGATTCATTTATGCATTGTTCGTAGATTTGGAGATGTCACTAATATTGAAGAAAAACATCTTGAAATAAGTGTCATGGTTGTTTTTTTTTTTCCTGGAACAACTGTGAAAAACCATGTAGTTCTCAGCCCCAGATATGCATAAAGAGTTTCAGGTGCTGACCCAAGCATCGAATGTTTCAGAGGTGTGGCTGTGGTTTCCGTCTTCCACATCAATTACCAGACTTTCCCCTCCCCCTTAGCTGACATTGTTCTAAGATGGTTCTGTGTACTAAGGGCAGTATTTGTCTGGTTCGTGTTAGTTTTTACAAAAAGATGAACAAATTTCTCCCTTCACAAAAACAGACAGATAAACAAGCAGTCTTTCGCCTAAAAAAGTTTCAGGAACAAGAACTTGAAAAGTAGTCAGCAAACTGCTCTTTGTAACTTCTGCCATTACTGTGAAAATAGCAGCTCTTTTGCCATTCCTATTAACACTTCCGCATTTTTGCCGAGTTATAAATGTACAAATTAATGCTGACATGTACTCACTCTGGGCTGTGGTAAAAGATGACCTCCCTGAGTCCTGGCAGGCACGCTGCCCCAGCCTGAAGGGCCTGCTCATAAGTTTCCCAGCTGCTCCCACTCTAGGCTTGGTGTGCATACCCCAGCCAGAAGCCAGTACTAAAGGTCGTGTGAGAAAGGAAACCCAAAATGATCACATCTGAACAAGTGACCCCTGCTAGAGGTCTGCAGCCAATCTGGACAAAATGCCCAGGGATGTCAGATGACAGTAATATAATCAGAGCAAATATAGGTAATCCCAACTCTAACCTGCAAGGATTAGGTTTGGGAGTTGGGTTACCCTGCCCAGTCAAGCAGTAAAAAGATTTTTGTCTCCTTTGGATCCATGTACTAAGCAGATCCCTAAAGCAGGTGCTACAAGAAATGACAAAGGGACCTCCATTGACAAAAAATCTGCCCTCCTCCTCCGCTAATGCTCAATGGCATGAACCGACTGACGTGCAGGTAGGAGTGGTGAGCCAGAGTCTGGAGAGTACTGTCATCTCCTCCTACCCTTATACAGGAATATGCTGTGGTAGATGCTAACGAAATGAAAAGCAAACTGGGCCCAACTCTGGCGCTTGTCTGTGAGGCAAATCATTACAATTCAATTTATTTGCAACAAAGTAATATTATCCATGATCCTCTCCTGCTCCCCACCCAGGTGTTCCAGAGCAATACTGCTACAAAAACTGGTTGCAAGCTGCTAGAAACTGAGCACACAGGAGCAAGTTCCAGACTCCATCCATATACTGATTCAGGTGACACAGCTTCTGGCATAAAAGCAAATCATGGAAGAGATGCACACTGGATTCTGAAACAGCTCTCTGACATCAGTAGATAAGACCAGGTCTTTTCTTGACCTTTCTTAAGGTAGCAGTCAAGATTGAGTTAATAGCGGAGTTACTTAGTGCCCTTCTGGTAAGTCTGCATCCTTTGTTTCATGCTGTGCATGCTGCAAGGTGCTGCACAGAAACAGTATCAGTGTCCAAAAGCAATCCTGAGAAGGTCATCAGGTTCTGTTAAACAAAATTACCAACCATTTGTTTAGAATCTGTGGGGAAGGGAAGGCATTAGCAGGCACTAATAACAGACAAACAAAAGAGAGGAAATTCCTCTCCCTGGAAAGAAACACCCTGCCTTAAGAACCCTTCAAACCTATTGTGACTGCTCATATTAGAACTGTGCTGATAAACATGTATCCATGTTGAATATAAAGGCATAGATAAAATAATTTCTGTGACAAGATAACACTTCTACAAATAAAGTTATGCAAATCTAGGGTTTGGAGGTTGTGTCTCATATTATTAAACCAAAATATATTCTCTCGTGTGCTCTGTACTTTGTACAGCCAGGCAGTGATGCAACTACACAGCAACAGTGCAAACTGCCCAGCATCCAACAGCTGTAAGCTGCTTTCTGCTACTTGTTGCTACTGGAGCTCACCCAAAATTACATTGTAATTTTATTTTATACTAGAAAGTACTTTGCTACAAGCTACCGCACTGTTTTGGAATTCATTTTTTTCTCCGAAGACCATCATAAAGCTGGATTACAACCTCAGTGTCAGGTCTAGACAGCTGGATTTAAGTGAAACACGAGCAGTGCAGTGAGTTCACGGCCCACCAGCAGAACAATCTGCCTGCTGGTCATCTGCTGCTTTACTGAGCTGCTCCTCAAACGCACAGGGTTGATTAAAGGGCAAGAGCACGTCTTCTGGGCAATCGCCTCAAAAGTTATGCATTATTTAATCGTTCCTGATTATTGCACAGATTAGGTTAACAAAAGGAGCTAAGAGGTAGCGATGAAAAGCACTGGAAAGGCTGCTTTTTGTCAGAGTGCTCTGTGACAAGCAACTGCGTTCTGCAGTGAACTCGGCGATCCGGTGCAGCAGATAATTTACTTCTAAACCCGAAGCATCCCGTTGCGTGCTCTTCATTTCTGTATTAAACGCAGTGCTAGCTGGACCTCTGCTGGCGAGAAAGAAGGAAAGAAAGCAGGACGGAGTCAGCGCAGCAAGGAGCCGTCACCGATCTCACGCCGCACCGCCGCTCGGCGCCGTCAGCCGCAGCCACACAGCCGCAGGTGCAGCGCTGCCCGCGGACGCGTCCCTCACGGCCGGAGCCGCGCTCGGGACGCGATGGCGGGAAAGGCGCCCTCACGCCGCCCCCGGCCGAGCAAGCCCGGGCAGGCCCCGCGCCGCCGCTTTCCCGCCGTACCTCCCCCGGCGACCGTTAGCGGCGTCGCATGGCAAGCGGCGCGCGCGCGCAGAGCCCCGCCCCGCCCGCCCGCGCCATAGCGGCGCCGCGGCTCTGCCGCTGACGGGAGCGGGCCGAGCCCGCCGCCGCCTCGCGCCGCCGCGGCCCCGGGCGAAGGGGCCGCCATGCAGGAGCCCGAGCCGGAGCGCCCCGCCGAGGAGAGCCCGGGAGAAGTCACGGCGGGCGGGGGCCCGCCCGGCGAGGAGGCCTCGTGGCTGCGGCGGCTGTCGGAGGAGGTGCGGAGCGGCTCGCGGCTGAGCGCGGCCCCCTCCGAGCCGCCCGCGCTGACGGTGGCGGCGGTGGAGCGGTACCTGGCCGAGGCGCCGCCCGCCGCCCCGCGCTATTGGTACGACGTGACGCTGGCGGACGGCGCGGGGCAGGAGCGCTGCTACCTGGCGCCGCGCCTCAGCCGTCTGGTGCAGCGCGCGCACCTGCACGCCGGGGCGCGCGTGCGCCTGACGCGCTGCTCCTACCTGTACGACGAGCGGCGGCTGCGGCGCGGCCTGCTCTGCATCGAGGCGCTGCAGCCCGCCTCGCCCCCGGCCTCGCCCCCGGCCCCCGCCGCTCCCCGGAGCCGTGGCCGCGTCCCGCCGCCCCTGCGTGGGGAGAGGAGGCACTACCTGCCGCTCTGGAACAACGAGGATCCCTACGGGGACATCTGGGTGGCGGAGCGGCCCCCGGCGCGGGTCGACGTCGACGGTAAGGCGCGGGGAGAGGGGCTTTACGCGAGAAGGGCAGCGGCGTCCTGCGTGGTGTGAGGAGCTGTGTGGGAGCGGGATGGGAGCGGTGCCTTGTGCCGTGCTGGCGCCTTGCTGCTGCACAGACGTGGAGGCACTGGAGAGTGTCCCGAGGATGGGCAGCGGAGCTGTGAGGGCTCTGGAGCACAAGTGTGACGGGGAGCGGCTGAGAGAGCTGTGATGGGTCAGTCTGGAGCAGAGGAGGCTCAGGGGAGATCTTAAAGCACAGCTCCCCGAATGGAGGCTGTGGTGAGGTGGGGGTCGGCCCCTGCTCCCAGGTAACAGCTATAGGACTGGAGGTGATGGCTTCGAGTTGCACCAGGGGAGGTTCTGGGTGGGAATTAGGGAAAGTTTCTTCTCCAGGCAGAGCAGTGGTGTTGTGGCACGGGCTGCCTGGATGGATGATGGTGTCACAGCGTTTGGGTGGTGTTTGGGAACCGTGGAGATGTGGCACTGAGAGCTGGTAGTTGAACTAGATGATCACAGTGGTCTTCTCCAACCTCTATTATCCTATCATTTCCACAGTTATTGAACACCTCTGGGAACAGTGACCCCAGCACCTCCCTGGTACGGTTCAGCAGTCAGCAGATAACCCTCCTAGATGTGATGTGAAATCCTAGTCTGAGAATTTTTACTGTTTGCTGAAAAGTGTTTCAGCATCCAGTTGTGAATGCCTTCTGCTTTCTTTTCTTAATGGCAGTCTCTAAGCTGATTTCCCTTGGTCAGCTGGAAACAACCTGGAGAAGCAGAATTCATTTCCGCCCGCTGCTGGTGAGAGTCCTGCACAAGTCTAGGCTAAGGTACTACGGGAAGCCAGAGAAGAAAATGGACATGCCGTACCAGGTAAAGAGGGTTCAGGTCAAGTCAATGCTCTTGAACAAACTTCATAAAATATTTGAAAGTTATTATTCCCGTACAGTAAAGGCATAGAGTTAAGAGTTATGTTATAGCTACTTTGTATTAAGAATGCCACCTACATAAACTTGCAAGGCCCTACTAAGTATGGAAACAGTGGAGTTGTTGACGGTACATACAGACTTTGGTTTGGATGTGTTTTGGTTGTTAAATAGAAAAAAATACTTGGAGTTTATGATAGCTTAAAAGAGTAAATGTTTTCTTCTCTGTATGCTTTGGAAGTCAGAGTTAGTCTGTCTGTACCAAAAAAAGAATTGTATTCTGTAATTCTTGCACTTTGTGATTTCCAGTTAGACTGTTTTACTGTGAAACTCTTACCAGCTCTCAGAACATGTTTTTCTTGCAGTATTTTTGCATAGTGCTTCTTAGAAATAGGCAGGACATGTGGTTGGCTGTTCATAGAAACTGAGCACCCATGAGCTGCTCGCTTATTCCTCCCCCAACTGGAGAAGGAGAAAAAACTGAAAGAGCAAAAACAAGGAAAAACTCCAGAGTTGTGATAAGGACAGTTTAATAAGTGAAGAAGGAGGAGAAACAAAAATATGATGCAGAGGGCATTTGATCACCAGTCGCCTGATGCCCAGGCAGCGCCTGAGCAGCAAGTGCTTTGAAAAGACCCAGTCTCATTGCTGAGCCTGATGTTATGTGGCATGGAACGTCCCTTAGGTCAGTTCAGGTCAGCTTTCTCAGCTGTTTTGCTTCCCAGCCTCTTGCCCACCCCTGGCTTACTTGCTGCAGAAGAGAAACAGGGAATCAGAATAGCTTGGGTTGGAAGAGACCCCAAGGATTATCAAGTTCTAGCCCTTCTGCTACAGGCAGGGCCACCAACCTCCAGATCTGGTGCAAGACCAGGTTACTCAGGGTCCCATCCAACCTAATCTTGAACACTTCCAGGGTTGGAGCATCCACACCCTCTCTGGGCCTCAGAACTGTGCAGGCACTGCTCAGCAGTAGCTAAAATGCTGATGTGTTATTTATGCTATTTTAGTTGTGTGTAGAGAACATAGCATCATGAGGCTGCTGTGAAGAAAAATAACAGCATCCCAGCAAGATTCCATGCTGCAGAACAACAATTTACAAACAGGTCAAGTAACTTGTGTGTTATTCTACGGAAAGAGGAAGATCTTGTTCCAGGTTTCCATTCTCTCTGCATGTGAAGGTGAATCTTGGTCTCTTATTGGAGGAGAAATCTGTCACAAGCAGAGATTCAATTTAAAGATGCTGGTTTACAGTGCAGACTGTCTTCTGTCATGTTTTATCAAGAATGTTTACCCAATGGGCCTGTAACAGCTCAACTTTTAAAGCATGCTTTTTCATCATTAAAATGTTATTCTAAATATTGCATTCTATCTGGTAAGGAAGAATCTTTTCTCTGAAAAAAGAAACCCACAGATTGCAACTGTTATCCCCTACTGTTACTGAATACTGGAAATAAGAGTTTGAGCTAGAATAGCTGTGGAAATTGGGGATTCCTCCAGCTCCAGTACTCAGTGCAACTTTTGGAACGTTCTCAGGGTCTGTTTGCAGTCAGTGAAATTGTTCATGAGCCAAGCAGCCAATGCATGATTTGTCAGTCCTCTCCTTCCCTCCACAAAAACAGAAAACAAAACAAAAAAGCAAAACAAAAACCCACCAGAATGATGATAAATAAAAAATGAATGTATTTTGTCTTTTTCTTTAGGCTTACTTTGAAGTTGCCGATGGTTCAGGCATGATGTCCATGGTTCTGTGGAATTCCTTATGTCCCGAATGGTATAACAGTATAAATGTTGGCACCGTGCTCCTCCTTGAACAGTATGCTGTCAAAGACAGTTATCCATTTAAAACACAGCCAACCCCAAGAGATCCACAGATGAAGAGATTTACTACAATCGGTTAAGTATTGCAGGAATCTGTTTTGATTCAATGAACTACAGCTCTAGTAGGAAGTGAATTTATTGATATGTTGTCTATCCCTACGTTCTGGCTCTGAAAAATGTCTTAGCATACACGTTCTTAGACTTCTGTTTAAATTTGGATCGTGTCTTTGAAGCTTATTACAACAATTAGTTAAAACCTTTGTTTGAAAATATATATGTACAAATCCCTCATGCTCCGGTACTGGATTTTAATCTGGTTCTTTTCCTGGTTAGTAATACAGATATCACTTGGGCATCGCTGATTCCTGCTTCCAGGCCATTAAGGCACTTCATCGCTTTCATCTGAGCGTAGCCTTCAGTGGGAGCAAGCCCCAGTGCAAAGCTCCACTGAATAAACCATTGCTGATGCTGTCTGTACTGAAACAGCAGCACCGTGGGAGAACTTATTTGAAGAATATCCCTGGGTTGTGAGGAAGTACTTCCTTTCTTGCTATTGTTCGACAAATATTCAAGGGAATTGTGCTGCAGAAGCACAGGTGCCACAATATAACAATAACAGCCTTTTCCAGGCTCTCTCCTGTTTTTCTCTCCTGTTTCACTGAAAGTGAGTTTGCCCTCCCTTAGGGTTTATTCTTGGAGCAAACAGCAGCCAACTTTCAGAATACACCAACAGCTGAAACAAGCAACTGTGTTTGTGAAGGATGATGTGTGTATAGCTTACTAACAGTGATGGCTTCCTAATGCAGTTGCTACACTGCATAAAAGTAAACAATATTTTCCCTGCTAGTAGCAGTGTGTTGTCTAATGAATCTTTGCCTTAATATCAGATGTTAAGTCTGAAGACTTGGTGATGAGTTGACAGGAGAGAAGTGTTTAGCCAGGCAATGAGAGTTTGGGAGGGAAGCTGATGCTGACTGCAAGCCAACCCTTCAAGCATTTCTAATTGCCACAGAACCTTTCTATGTGGAGGGGATGGAATAAGATATGTTCTGAGATTACTTTCTCTATGGGCAAACATGGCCAATTCTAATGCCTTTATTCACACCATGTTACTGATTTCTGCATGTGTGATTGGGTAGAAATGTTGGTGGAGAGAGAAAATGGAAGTGAGCCAGTGGGCAGTAAATTATATCTCGTGTAAGATTTAAAAGAGTCTATAGTAAAGTGCAGTGGCATGCTTTCAGACACAGATAAACTGAAAACAAGTGATGTTTAGTTCATACCAGCATGTATGTACAGTATCTTCTTTCTTAGCACAAACCTCAGAGTTTTATCTTTGTAGGAACTTGAAAAGCAAATCATGCCATGTGTTGGTAGGTCCTGCATCTATATATCATGTGAGAGAAGAGTCAAAAGGGAACAGAAAATCTAACAGAGCAGTTAAAATCAATTTTATGCAGCTCTCAAGAGCATGATTTTCTTTTGTTGATGTTTGAATGACAGTATATCTGAAATCAAATGCTTCAACTATTCTGTTAATATGTCCTTATGCACTCAATATGAAT